TGGCGGTTTAGTAAGTTTAGTCAACTAGAAACAGTGTTCTCTATAAACAAATGGTATCTAAGCATATGAATCATTAACATAAATATCATAAATGGGAATACAAACGGGTTGGTGGTTTCAACCCCTTTGAAAAATATGAAAGTCAGTTGGGATGATTATTCCCAATATACTTTAAAAACAAGCAAAAAATGTTTGAAACCACTAACCAGTTATAATAGTTATAATATATATATATGGGTACTTCCTTCGTTGGACCAAAATATTGTGCCCGTCTTCAGGTTTTGAATCCAAGGACTTGGGTCCCAAGCGATCTTCATCCCTGTTCTGGATCGCATCCAGTTGCCTAAAAAAAGTGGATGAATTCTGTGGTTTATGGTAGATATAACATGATATAACTATAGTTAATGGCGATTACAAAGGTTTATAAACAATCGTTCACATCACTGGTGGGGCCCATCCTGTAGGAAACGACTGACTCTTCAAAACGTAACTCGAATCTATCAACCATGGCTGACATTGGATACCATGTTGCTGTCTTGCCCCATTACGGTAAGTCCGGAATGCTGGATTATCTTTTGGTGCGAATATAGATCGATCGATCGATCAATGGATACACATGTATTAAAAAAAAAGATTGACTGGATTCCTCCCTGCAGAGATGTAAATCAGCCTAGCGCCAAAAGCAAAAGCGGCGTTAAGACCTTTATGTAGGATTGAGACGGATTGAGCACTGGGACAAGACAAATGACTTATGAGTGGGTATATGGATGTATATGCTGTAATTGAAGCCCATTGTTCAATGGATTGGTTTTGTTGGGAAATTCTTAATCGCAAGCCGTAATTGGTTACCATCATGTTTTCCTTTGGTTTCTTTCATATGTCCCATCATCCAGTTCTGAGTATTGTTGGATGATACAGGGCATTCATGATTTGTACGTGTATCATGTCAGCTGCGTCTATGCTCATTGTCGTGAAATTGAGCTCAAGATGCCTTGGTTGTCTTTCATACTCAATCCACCACGAGATATGGGTGCGTCTGAAAATGGGCTGTACATGGCATTTCATGGCATTACATGGCTATGCCATGCTATGCCCTAATTTTGTATTGTTCATGGGAAAGTGAGGGGGAAATCTTGGATTTAGGCGTACCATATTTTAAGATATGGTACGAGACAAACGAATTGGCCCATGTCAATGTCTATACTGCTCAATCCTGTTCAGGCTGATTAAGATAATTGCACAATGTGAGGCCCCCAAGATAGCTAAGTTGGTTTATATATAACTCCAATAACTATGGTTTATGGTACACAAATAACATCAAATAACTATAGTTACTGGGGCGAATCTAAACCAACAGACATCACTGGGGGGCCTCACATTGTACCTAAAAATTCGTGGTACAGTACCTCAAGGTATGTACTTCCTAGCTCCGACCAATTTGGATGTGCTCCGCGATTTCCCATGAAGAAAACAAAGCAAATCATCGACTCGGGACATCAGAGTTTGTATGTATTACCCTCTGGTAATTTAACGATCTGCTATTGAAAATGGCCATTGAAATAGTGAGTTTCCCCATCAAACATGGTGATTTTCCATAGTTATGTTAGTTTACCAGAGGGTACTGATAAACCTTGTTAAACCCACCTTGTATACCTCAAAATTAGTGGTACAGTACCAAAGGTATGGTAAAAACAAAACATTGGTCATATTCGACCAAAGAACGCGGCCTTCCGTGGCACGCTGCGTGCACCCTGTAGTTCATAGCAATTCATAGTTGAAAGTTGGAATTTCTGAATGTAAAAAACATGAAAACTTCAAAACAATAGGTATCTCAGATGGTATCTGACCCATACCCATTTTCGTACTGCAACTACTAAAATACTAATGTTCATGGCCAAACTAGCTCATCTTGACCAGGTTGACTACTAAACTGGGGGACTATTGAGGACCGTCTCAGTCGATTCAAACCTATGGATCTCAGTTGCCATGTGGAAAAAATCACCATGGCTGTTTACAAAATAAGCCTCAGCTCTATACATATATCCTTCCTATAACCTTCCTATAAACATAGATTGTTGAATCTTTTCTCAGACTTGAGATTTCTGAGATGCACATCGTTGCTTCAATCATTGGATTGGTTTAAGGGAAATTCTACAGGAAACCATGGTTTTTACCATTAAATATGGAGGTTTCCGGTTTCAATTTTCCCGTAAACCAATCTAATGATACAACAACTCCATCCGACTCCATATTGATGGCATTTGAGTATCGGTCCCGGTCCGGGTCGTGCACCTGTTGCGGGTGACCAACTTCCAACTCACCACGGTCGTGGGCATGGCAGTAGACGTCGTACCTGGAAGGCGAGAAGAATCAACATATGATGGGAATATTTAGCGATGGCGGCTAGGAAAAGGCAACGTAACCTGGAACTAAACTTATTCTCCGTGTTTGGGGTGAACATGGACCCCAACAAAACCACAATTCAACCAACAATATATCATGTCATATCATTTCTTGCCATAAGTTTCATTGGGAGGTGTAAATTGGGGGTCGAATAGTCCAGCAATGGGATATAAAAATGGATTGCCTTCAACTGGCTGACTACCCATTGATAAGGGTAGGAGGATCATGCCGGCTGGTCCAAAATTAAGTGGCCCTAAAATCAATGCTCACCCATCAGTCTTTCTCTAAACAATGCAATTTTTGGGTTGTGAACATTTTTTTGGATACATGTTGATTTTTGCTGAAACCGTACCATATCCCTATAAAATCCCACTGTCTATATCATAATCACTATTGTATTATTGTCATGTCTCCTATTGAAATTGACACTCATTGCATATGGAAAATCCTGGTTATGACTGGGTATACCTACAGTCGTAACCACCATAAGTTGATATATGTTGATATAAAAGCTTCATAACTATGGCCACAGACACACTGATGAAGAGGAACTGGAGCCAGCAATATTGTCCTTGTACGACACATAGAAGGACCCCTTTGGCAGTCGTTGAATGGGGGAAGCCCCATGGGAAAAACAAACAACCAACCAGTGCTCAACAGTTAAACTGGGATTATAACTCCTGCAACTAAGATGAAAAATATAACTTAAATTACTTTACTTCGTGTGATCCCCACCATGACATTTATACATTTTGTTACTGGCAAATCTTTCTGACATATTTTCTGGCATTCTATCTGGCATATCTTCTGGCATTGTACCTGGCATATCTTCTGGCATATCTTCTGACATTCTATCTGGCATTCTATCTGGTAAATCTTCTGGCGTTCTATTTGGCAAACATTCTGGCACTTTATCTGGCATACCTTCTGGCATTCTATCTGGCATTCTATCTGGAATACCTTCTGGCATTCTATCTGGCATATCTTCTGGCATTCTATCTGGCATACCTTCTGGCATTCTATCTGGCATATCTTCTGGCATTCTATCTGGCATATCTTCTGGCATTTTATCTGGCATATCTTCTGGCATTCTATCTGACATGCTATCTGGCGTTCTATCTGGCATATCTTCTGGCATTCTATCTGGTCGTTGAGGTCCAGCAGTGCTCACTGAGCTTGGAAGGTCCCAGGTTGAGGTCCAGCGGTGCTCACTGAGCTCGGCGGGTCCCAGGTTGAGGTCCAGCGGTGCTCACTGAGCTCGGAACTTTGAACTCGGCAGGTCCCAGGTTGAGGGCCAGCGGTGCCCAGTGCGCTCAGACCCTTGCAGTTGAGGTCCAGCAGTGCCCACTGCTTGCGGAAGTTGGCGAAGAGCTTGGCGAAGAGTTGGCAAGGCGGAAGTGGACATGGAAGTGGCAGAAGTGGACCTGGAAGTGGATGCAGAGGTGGTGGAGGAGAAGGAGGAGAAGGAGAAGGAGAAGGAGAACAACTCTGATAAAATCTAACAACCCTCACCTGGCAGGTGAGGAATAATATATCATAAGATTATTTTAGCCAGTTGTAGCTGGCTAAAAGGCTATACATGATAAACTGCAGTAGATGCATCTCTTTTCCGCGCCGAGTCTTGAAAGCCATCACTTTTGATGTGGCGCACAGAGCGGTGTTCCAAAAGTTCCGTCGACAAAAGGACATGTGGATCTCTTGTTTTTTTTCGAACACTGGTTGATACCAGGTACGCGTATCAACCATTTTTGGTATCAACATGTATTATCAAAAACATATAACAAGCAGTTTCATGTTCAATACAACCAAAAAGCACAGACTTCGTCAATCAGGCCTGCTCTGCATAACTAAGCTTCCAGTTCCTATGTATGGAACATGCGAAGGACGTGTTGCTGAAACTGACAACACGTATGGAAATTGGTCAAGCGCTTGGTATTCACATTGCAAAAACATTGGTCTAATACAATGTTGCTGCCTTACAATCCCATCTAACTATAGTTACTACTGCTATAAACTCAACAGTCAACCAAAGTTACCCTCTGGTTATTTAACATAGCCATGGAAAATGGCCCATTTGTAGATGGTTTACCTATTAAAAATGGTGATTTTCCATGGCTACGTTAAATAACCAGATGGTAGTTCAACCACCTTAGCTATCGAAAAAGGTGGCCTCGCCTTGTATGGTCTATGGATGTTTGGACGTGAACAAACGCTCAACAGATTGGCTTAAGGGTATATCTACAGGAAAACAACATTTTACCATTCACATTGTCCCTTTTGATCATTTTTGCAATGTGGGCCACCCAAATATAAGTAGCTATATAATCCAATCTATTTGTAGTTCTGACTACCACAAACTTGTAGTTATGTTCACCAACATAGCTATCTTGGGGTCCCCACATTGTGGGTATTTAATCACTAACAGTCATGTTTCATCACTAGTAAATCACTAATATTTACTCAAATCACTAAGAGTGACTAACAGTGATTACAGTGATGAACAGTGTTTCCTAGTCATTACTAATAGTGATTACTATTAATGTGTAATTACTAATAGTGATGTGTGTGATTAATAGGTATTATATAACCATATATAACCACTATTACTCCGTGCAATGTGTGGTATTGACCGATCCCATCTCTGCACGAACTTCCTAACGCATTTCAAGCACCAGTTCGTTCCCGCTTCACTCCGCAGTGTAGCTGCGGCAGCACGCCGAACTGACCTGCTACTGTACGAGGTACAGGGGGGAAGACTGGCAGCACTGAGTAAGTGGAGACGATATTTATGTACATATATATATATATACATATGTATACATACACGTATATATATATATAATAATACTAATAATACTATATATATATATTCATACATGTGACAATGAAAGGCTGGAGTAATTGCAATGCATAACCCCTTATGGCAGTGATTAGACACCCTGAAAAATAATCACTTGTTGCTGGGTAGTAAACAAGTAATTACAAAATACTACAAGCATACAACACCATTTATGGCAAACACAATCACAAATTACTATATACATGGTCCATGGTGAATCTTCGACAACCAAACAAACATCATGTTTAGCTGGTGAGACAATTTCTACCACTGACAAAAGATTAAAGTATTAGTTCGTATCTACAATGTGAGGCCCCCCAGTTATAAGTTGGTTTATAGGCCCCAGTAACTATAGTTATAAGTACCATAAACCATGGTTATTGGAGTTATGTGCACCAACTTAGCTATCGAACGGGGGCCTCACAGTGTAAGCACGGTTGACCCAGAATACGTCGTCAGATTGATTCCCAGCCCTGCTGAAAGTTGAGCTCTAGTGACTCTAGTGCGCAGGCAGTTGCAGTATGAAAAAATTATGTAATTACTATTATATAATCATATAATTACTAGTTAGATGAGATTCTAATATGTTTAATATTAATAATTATTCAAATCTTCAATCTAATAATGAAAAATATAAAATTATTATTGTATGATTATATAATTACTATTATATAATTACTAGAAAAAAAACATTATCCCCCAAATATAAAGGTCTAAATTACACTGCAATAGATCTAAGTTAACCTATTTATCTACACGTATTTATATCATATTATATAACTATTACTCAACTTCTATTACCATCCCTCAAATAAATATAGGTCTACAAAAGGTTGAGAGAATGGCCGGGAACCGCAATGCTGTTGGAAACAAATGAAAAAATCTGTTTTTTCAATGGAAACAACATGTTATTAACCGGCGATAATGGGCCCCGTAGTACGAAGACCAAACAAAACATTGTGACTAACCTTACTGGGTTTATTAGTGGCTATAACTATCTATAACTATAACCACGGCAAATATATAAGAAGAAACATACCTTCCTCTAATTTAACATAGCTATGGAAGCCATGGCCCATTTAGTAGACTGATTCTCCATAGCTATGTGAAATTACCGGAGGGCAACTATAGACTATAATTACATCAGTCTGCGTCTTTGTCGGTAGATGCAGAACTGCTCAAGTTCATCTGCGGTCCCAAAGAACAGTCCACACAAGGAAATTTGGCGGATGCCACAGCTGCTTGCCTCTGCCACTGCACCATGTCACGAGTCCCAAAAATCCACCGTGATCCACCGTGAAAACACAGGGGAAAGGGTTGGCCGCACCCCAGGAGCGCAGGCAAAGTCCCGGAGGTACAGCTCTTGCAACACGTTTTTAGGACCACGTCCCCTGACTTTCGAGGTAAAATCTTCGACGGTCAGCACTTGTGCTATGCCCCAAACTCTTTTGGGATGATTGTCGGCAACCTAATTTTTGGTGAGCTTTACAGTACTTTGTGGCCTTCCACTATGCTGAGATGTTATAACTTGATGTCCCTGGGTTTGCAAACCCAGGGACGTGATGACCCTTTGCGGGGAATCTGCTGTCCTGGTTTTCAGCACTGTGTACATAAACCCTAAAAGAACAAGCAATCCTCACTTGTAAACCGCCGTAAATTCCTCCAAAATCACCCTAAAATCACATAAAATCACCATTAAATCATCACTTAATCCCATTCAATGACCATTCAATCACACTAAATACGATTGAATTCCCATGAAATCCCCTTTTCAACCCACGAAATCACCATTCCGAAACGCCGACCGCCTGCCACTCGGCTCCGCCCATGACCGCTTCGATCTCTGCCACCGTGCGCGGAACGCAGGTCAGGACGCGGCAACCCTCCGCCGTGATGACCACCTGACGTATGACTGGGGGGGCAGAGCCGTGCCTTCTCAGGGATCCAGAGGCTGTAAATATATGTAATATAACAAGTGTAACTGTGTAACTATTATATATATATACATGGCATATATCAAATATAAATATTATATTATTCACAATATATATATATATATTATTAAATATACATAGCATCGCATCCAATGACATCCAATGGGTTTGCGTTCTGGCCCCACACGCAATGTGAAGGTTGGTTTCACAATGTCCGCCATACTTATTGGGGTTGCAGAGAAAGACACACTGAACCAAATTGGACTCTACAAAATGTTGGTTGAACAGTTGAACCAGTGAACATTGAATTTTAACCAAGAAAATGAAATAGTTTTTTTAGTTGCTTTAAGTGGTTTCACTATTCTTCAAGAACAAGGTTCTATCAACCAGGTTCTATCAAACAAATATTTCTTAAAGTGAATTTAGGATTGAACGTTTGCAAGGATGTGTATAATTATTACATATATATAATATACACGCATGGAAATGCATGCGCCCCATTCATAAGCTATGAACACATTCACTTGTGAAACCAGCTCCTGGTTTCAGTGGATATTCCGGCGTTTCATCCATGATCGTTCAACACAAAGGAAAGTATATACATCATGCTGGATGCCTCTGGTCATGGGAAAAAAAGGTCTTGACCTATCGCCTATCCCCATATGGTGGATTGTGGCGATTTCCGCAATTTGTGCTACCCGGGATTCATCCATTTTAATGGGATATTCCATTATAAACCATCCATTTCGGGGTATCCCCATTTTAGGAAACCCCCATCTGTTTGGGCAGAACTTGTATATTCCAAGACAAAACAGCTTATCTTTGAAACCCTTGGCTGGATCCAGGCCAAACGCTATTCGTCACCTATGATCACTATGTGAACTTGGGATTCGTCTCAAAAAGGATGCCCCAAAATGGCAACTTGTAATATCTTGTAATTAGACAATTCGATCTATATATATATATCACTCTATGTCTATCTATATATTATATACAAACACATATTGGATATATCTACGGGATTTGATATAAACGATGCGTCCCGGGTTGCCAGTTCCACATCTGGGTCATCAAAAACTCAGACTTTCTAGGCCGCGGCACATCATCCTCGATCCGGACGCCGCCGACAGAGGGCCAGAATTCGTACAATTTCTCCTTGCCCGTGAGAAGTGAGGGGGGGAGATATATTGCACCAATGACTATGGTTTAATGGTAGATATAACTTTAGTTACTGAGTTTACGAACCAACTTCTAAGATATATCGGACTAATCAATTGGTTTATGAACCGACAAAACTGGAGGGCCTCACCTTTTCCATTCCAAGATATCTATGGTATTTTTTTCGGGGAGTTTGCTGCAATACCCCTGTGCCAGTTCGGTGGCTACAAGTTTTTTTTAATCACAGAATAAACTCAATATTTGCACACATTAATATAAAATATTGTTCCATTCCAAGATATCCCTATTTATCACGTGTTTTTGTCTTCTCAATATTTAATCACACACGAAATCTTCCTGCGTCAAATTTGTACACTGAAACATCTGGCGTTTCAAAAGGATGTACAAGGTGGTGCCCCAGTTCGTGAAAGCTAAGTTGGTGCAAATAACTCCAATAACGATGATAGTGAGCTAGCTTGGTTTATGGGTTTATAGGTGATATACCTATGGTTTATAAGTTTATAGGTGATATATCTATGTGTCCAATATCTATGGTTTATATGTGATATATCTATACTTACTATGGTTTACAAACCAACAAACATCACTGGGGGGCACCACCTTGTAAAGAATCACCATGAACCACCTCAATTTTGTGCAGCACATGTGTCGACGATGCCAGCACGAGGACATGAGGCAATCCGGTAGTGATCATCAGTAATACAAAAAACAATAAACTATCAACAAACATTAACTAACACAACTATATAACCATCACTCTTGGATGTGGATATCATCATGAATCTCACTCTTGGATATCATCATGAATCTACGTTTGATTCTTAGACCCTCCCGTTTTTGATGCTTACATATACATCATATGTGTTAACCATCAACCACCAGGGATGGGCATGCCTATCATGGCGTCCTTGTTGATGAACTTTCCCTTGCTGCTTGCCAATGCTTCCTGGCCCACAATAGGATGTGTATCTAGTGAACCACAACTGCTCTTAATCATTTAAGTGGGATATCATATACTAGATATTAAGAGGTTATATCTTTGGGGATATCATATATCATTCTTTGGGCCACTTTCCTAGTTTGGGGATATCCCCAAGATGTTTAATCGGTTAAATGTCCATTTTTGGAGATATCATATACTCCGGCCATTTTCAGATACACCCAGAGGGCCTGTCAACCAGGCTTTCCAGGCAAATAGAGGCTGAAAGTGCAACCACAGCAAGACAGTGAAAAATTGGCAGTTGCTTAAAAAAAGTGTGAATCAACAACCACACATCTTCTGTGAACACCTATTAGGTGCGCTAAAAACACAGGTCGACCATTGCAGTCCGAGCAGTCCTCGATCAAGTAGTCAATGAAATAGAAGCCTGGCTCCACCGTGATCACCTCAACGACAACGGTCACTGCACGCGACGGCGGTGGACTGGCGGACTGCTCATTTTTTCCCAGCATTTTCTACCCGGCCTGGTAAACGTTTACATAACTAAAGAAAACCACCATTTTCTGGGTAAATCAACTATTATGGCCATTTTCAATAGCTTTTTGTAGGTTTACCAGGCCGGGTAGTGTCTGTAACTCTGGTCGCTATCACTCTCAAGGTCGAATGAAAAAATACAGCGTGTCACCAAGAAACAATGGGTGCATTGCGTTCAAACATGTTCAAGCACACCACGATTCTGTTATGATGTTGATACCGGTTCCACATCCTGATTTTGGGTAAACTATTAGTGAAGTATTACGACATATTACGGCATCATAGATGCAGGATGTTCATGTTTTTTGTCCTTTCCTATACTTCAAAGTTCCAAGATGATCAGAACCTATACCTTTGGAACATACCCCAAGTCACTCCTGCACTAAAGGTGTTGCTTAAATTTACTTGGTTACTAGGGGTTACAGCGCTTATAACTATAGTTAGATAAAATTATAAACCAACTGTAGCTAGACAAAAAATTATAGTTATAACAATTATAACTATAGCTGGTAACTTGGTTATAATTCCATCTATAACTTTTTATCCCCCCAATTAATAACCAAGGCGATAATTACTTTCTTATAACTTGGGGGTCCAAGTAACTTGCAGTGTTTTAGTCAGGTGATTTTTTTGATTTGTATGGTTTTCATCATGTCCAATCCCCATCTTCGGTTCACCTACAACATTCACTGCCAATATTAATTACAATGTGAGGCCCCCAAGATAGCTAAGTTGGTTTATAACTCCAATAACTATGGTTTATGGTACTTATAACTCGGGCTTATAAACCAACTTATAGCTGGGGGGCCTCACATTGTAAACTTAGTTGATAATAAATGAACATATAAATATTAAATAATATGTATATATATATATGATACATTTCCAGTATTGATCAAAAAAGCAAACCTAGCATGTTTGATCATGTTTCGCATTTTTGTTTCGCCCTGCAGCTATCTGCAGCTGCGGTACCATGTTCTCTTTCAGCTCACGGCCACAGCGAAGATTCTCCTTGATGCTAGGATCGTCCTGAAAACTGGCAGTGGGGTGGGAAATTGTGATGGAAATTGTCACCATAGGAAAAACCATAGGACAATGGTGAGAAAAAAAACATGTGGATTTAATGGGATTTATAACTGATTTATGATGGCTAAATTTATATATATAATTCCAATAACTGTGATGTATGGCAATTGTGATAGTATAGTATCCACGGGGCTTCTAAATCAACAAACACAACTGGGCTCCGCCTTGTACCAATGGGGTGATTTAAAATGAACAGGGCGAAACACATGTCACATATTCATGTATCACAATGATGTATAGGGATGAACGGGAAACCCATATGATACTGATCATATGTGATCATCATCCAATTATAAATATATATATTTACTGTATATATATATATATATATCAATGTTTTATTGCTGGAATCATAGTTCTCAGATGGCCACTTACAGTATCTTACAGTAACCTCGGGAAATATTTCTATGGGTCATCATGGCCATGGAAGAAGGGCAAATCATCCCTTTATCCAATTCTCGGAAATTCCCATATATATATATATATATATGTATATACACAGCATGGTCAAGTTACATGTGTTTTATCTTGCAGCCCCTGGTCATTCCACCATGATGAATGGGAAGCAACAAATAATGGGTGTGTATATACAATATACATATGTATGAACATATATATATATTATATCATTATTATATCATTAGTATTATCATTATTAAAATATATATATATATATACATATATATATTTATATTATGATATACATTTAATATACTCATATATATATATTATAATTTATCTATATATATAACACCCTTATGTGTTCATGGATTGATGGCCATCTCCCAACTGGACAATTTTCCAATTTCTGATCTGTTATCCCATCAATACCCCACCAAGACATAGTTGGCTATGTGCATCATGGTGTTCTAATCCCATGAAATATCATTTTTAAGAATCACCAAAAATCACTAAAGTCTAAATTGGACATGTGTTATCCCAAAAATCAAATATCATTATCCTGTTTAATCCCAAAGAAAGAAACGTCTAAATTATCACTATTGCCCCACCTGTCTGGTCAGAATGTATAGTGTGTTAGGCTGGAGATCACTCCAAGAATGTTTTTTTTTGGCTAGTACAGTAAACTGGCCATGGCTATTAGTGAAATAACTGGTTATTTCTATGGGATGAGAAACACGAACTAGAAATGAGGTGACTTGTTAGTACTTATGATTGGTATTTGGGACCATAACTGTAGGTTTTTTCCAGTTTCTACCTGTATAAACATACAAAAGATCTGTGTTTTCAACTCAGCGAATCAAGGATATAAATCACTGACATCATGCCAAGTTGGCTATATATCCTTTTAAACCATTATTATATAAATCCTGAGTAAATGCCATTCAAATACCAATTCATTCCCAAACACATACCATTAAATCCCATTAAGTCACCATAAAATCCCGATAAGCTTCCATAAAATCGTTAAACAAAAAGAAGAACGACATCCCATTAAAATATCAACAAGAACAATCAAATCACCACAAAACATCACACGCACCTTGCGGAAGCTCCCTGGCGCATAGCCACCCACGTCGTGCACGTCAAGGCCCAACTGGTGACCCAAACCGTGGGGCATGAAGTGGAACATGAGACCTGCCATCACCACCCAGTGGTGGTGAGAAATCGCAGAAAAAAACATGTTGGAACCACGATGGATTTACCGAAAATTGTGATCTTGGAGGATTCAGTTATGACAAATGATGAACAGATGAAGGAAATATGATGAAATATGGTCAATGGGAAATTCAGGATCCTAAAATGGAGGTACTGTACCATATAAGGCCATATTTTGGGGGTATATCCCCTTACATAGGCCTCAAAAATAGGCCTTATATATGGTAGGTACCTCCAATTTAGGTTCCTGAAATGGCCATTGATATGGTGGATTTTCCGAAAATGGTTGAACATTGTGTTTTGGACCGATTTAGCTCAACCATGAAATCATGATGCTTTCGGAAATCAACGGTGGATTTACGTATAGAGAATTGGCCTTAAAGGGGTCGATAGCTATGACAATTGGCGATTTCACTCGGAAAACAATGGTGCATTTGCCTGAGGAAATAGATGACACTTGTTTTTTAAAGTATTTTCCGATGAACGCAATGTGATTTCACTAGGAAAAACATGGTGATTTACCAAACAAAAATGGTGATTTTGTTTTTTTAGAAGATTTAACTGTGAAAAGTGATGGAAAAAAGGGGACATGGTGCATTTACCCGGGGAACATGGTGTTTTGAAGGGATTTTCCCCTGAAACATGGGATATCATTGAGATATGATGCTGACAAATAGGAATAAAACCAACACATGAATTGCACATTCGGATTTATTCGCGACGGTCGCGCCCTAAATCTGAAAAAGCCAAGTTGGTTGAGCTAATCAAGCTAAGTGTTCAAATAATTTATGATATTTATTGGTAGAATATTGAACTAGCTAGTGGGTTTATAAACAGTCTTGTAATTGGGGTGACCAACTTTATATTATCCCTGCGTATATCAGCATTGATTCCTGTTATGTTTTCTTTATATTGTGTAAATATATATATATATATATATATGTATATTATATAATAACTATATATTTATATTATATTAAGATATAATATATATATATCCCACCAAGTGGCATATACGCTTATTTCCCCTTCTATCATCCTTTTCCCATGTTTCCTGCTTGCATTTTTCTCGCTGCCTGCGGACATCATCTCATCCACACTGCCAACCTCAGAACTTCCCCCAGTTCTATCGTGAAGTGGTTTGAACTACCCTCTGGTAAACTTTTAATGGTGATTTAATGGGGTTTTAATGGTGAGTTTAATGGATTTATGGTGATTTAATGGGATTTGATTGAGATATACCCTCTGGTAACCTAACATGTCTATGGAAAATCGCTGTTTTCAACAGGTAAATCAACTATAAATTGCCATTTCCAATAGCTTTTTGTATGTTTACCAGTAACAAACGGTTAAGTATTGGGTTTATGGTAATTGCAACCAACTAGTTAGATGGGATTATAAACCAAGCTATATTCCAGTATATCACATTATCCCCCTACTTTTTTGGTTGGGTTAAATTCACCAGAAAGACATGTTGAAGATGATCTAATAGTCTATAGTAAGCGCCCAAAACGATGCTAAACATATTTCCCAGCTTGGTCACTTTGGGATTTCCAAATACTGTCCAGGTGTACCTCTGGCATCTTTGCGGGGGTTGCTTTTCGCCATTTCATGAGGATACAATGATGCAACCAACAGCATTTGGGCGTGTCCAAACTTGTGGAGATATGTGTACAGATAATAATGATGGGAAATTTGGAATTTTCCCAAACTATATTTGTTCAGCAATTTTGGGATAGGTACCCCTTACTATCAACTTTGGTGAGCTCAGCTAAGGTCACTACAAATTACCCGGGTGAATTAACGATGTTGCCGGGATTGACTGTAGCTATAACGAATCGTATTACAAAAAAAAACATATATGACAGCAAGGATTCTCTAAAGACAAGAAATCATAGGGCCATAGGCTGTGTCTGAACATGAGGTAGTAGAACCTCAAAATTGCATTTTTCGTAACACAAATGCTGATTGAAGTAATCACTAAATTTGGGGATACCATATAAATACAAATTAACAAAAAACAGTGATAATCTAGAAATGCTGACTGAAGCACTCACTGGATTTGGATTTGATATTTATAATATATATATATTCTGGGTAAATTATAATATTTCACTAACCTGAATTGTTGGACCATTTGGGGATGATTTCCCATATGAAAACCATGATTCCAGTGAGGGAGAACAGTGAGGTCGTTATAACTTATCCATATATATATATATATTTGGAGAAATCCATATAACATCTCTGATATATCAAATCCTTGCAGCTGGAGGCACCATTGGCAAAGATTCGACACCCACAGATGATGATGGACGTGAACATCTAACGGGGTTCCACAAATGGAAAAAAAAACAAAATGGTTGGTTTGTAAAGGAAAACCGAAAATCCTACTAAAGTGGATGATTTAGGAGTACCCCCATTTCAGGAAACCTCCATATATTGCTTCATTACATTGCTATTTTTGCTTTTTTTTCATGTTTTGCCTTGCCAGCAGAATCCAGAGTCTTTGCTGAACATCCCACTTTTCTTTGTAAGTTTACAACATAATTGAAAAAAAACAAACTGCAACTAAATGCCACTGAAGAAATAATCAGCCAGCCATATGTGGATGGTGTTTATACCACCCATTCATGGTCAATTTGGGATTGTTTTACCATTGCTTTACTAACTTTAAATCTTATTTAATCTTATTTAACAGAAAGCAACAAAAAATCCTCACTCCGGATGGCTATGGCTACCAACCTACCATGCGTCAAGTGTTACCCTTGTTTCCTCCACGAAAAATTGGGAGTCTGCATCAATACGCTGGAGGCGGTCGGGCATACCATGCTTCATTTCTGGGGAGTGAAATCTCCATTAATGGATAAAACTATTTTACTGTTGGCTAAATGCACTTTCCTGAGGGTTGAACTTTGATATTCTTATGGTTACTGTAAAAAAAACGCCATTTCTCATTGCTAAGCCACCATTTTTCATGGCTGAACTGGACTTCAAGGACTACATGGATCAGATTAAGCAAGCAACAAACAGGCCTGCCGCGACCATACGTTCCAGGAGAACGCGCTGTGACAAGCGATGCATGTCCTGATAGGTTGACATGGCGACAGCATTGGTGGCGTCCGTGGGAAAATGGGAGATTTAATCAAGAACAATTGGCATATCATAGGGATCTAATCCTAGTTAAGCTGTATTTCTGGTTTAAGCGTGGACGAATATGGGAAAATCATGGGAAATCATCTATAAATGGGTTACAACTTGGGCATTTCCCATGTCTCAGTATATCTCAGTATATCTCAGTATATCTCAATGGATAGGTTTGCTGGTTTGCTGGTGGCCATAACTTCAAGCAAGTTAGCCGAGTTAGTGAAAAACCATCTGGGCCGTTCCGGATGGCAATGGGAAACTTCAACCTGGTAACTTACCCCTCTGAAAATAGTGGTTATAATACCAACAATAGTGGTTACATATGGTTTTATGATGGGATTATAACATATTATATTAAATATATATATATATATGTTTATATCTGGTTGGTGGTTGAGCCCTACCCCTCTGAAAAATATGACAGTCAGTTGGGGTTACGACATTCCCAAGATATGGAAAGTCATAACAGCCATGTTCCAAACCACCAACCAGTATGAGAGATTGGTGGATTCTCCCTTGGTTGGTGGATTTGTTTTTCACAACTGAGAGATTGGGATTCTCCCGTGGTTGGTGGATTTGTTTTTCACAACTGAGAGATTGGGATTCTCCCGTGGTCACCCGGAAAGACATTTCAACTGCAGCTCGAGGGCTTTGGGCACACTATACCTATCAACAGAGGTTTTGAACAACCATCCATCAGTTGGTTTATCATGCTTTATTCACCAATCCAAAGTTTTAACCACCATGAATCCTAGTGAAGTTATTTATAAACTATAAACATCTCTAAACCAACGCAACGCAAAGTTTTTTCCCATACCACCACTGGGATATTCAGCCGTGAGGGACATGGTCACGTCTGGTTTTACCTAATTACCATCCTGGGATCATGTCTGCCGACCCAATCCGGTGACACCTCCTTCGAGCTTAGGTACGGCTGGATCCATAGAGTGAAATATCATGAAATCTGGTTGGTGGTATAGCTACCCCTCTGAAAAATGATGGAGTTCGTCAGTTGAGTCAGTTTGGCTTATGACATTCCCAATATATGGAAAGTCATAAAAGCCATGTTCCAAACCACCAACCAGGCATGGTTATGACTTGTGTTAAACTACCCACAACCTCAATGTTCCATGATTTTCCCATGGTTTTCCTATGGTTTTTCCTATGGTTGAAACCATATGGTTAAAACCATAAAACCACCATTTTTCATGGCAAAATCACTAACTAACTAGCATTCCTGGGGCTCAATTGTTAACCAACGTTCACATCACAACGGGGAACCTCAGATTTTTTTGGCTCAGCTAAGTCAAAACCATGGTATATGATGGAATCGTATCATTATACCATATAAGATTCAGGGAATATTCAGATATTATAATGGAATATGGGAAATGATCATGGAATCACTGAATAATGGGAATCATTATCATTATTCAGATGGAATCTTTGGCCATTCAGATGGAAATTGAATCATGGAATCATGGAATCATTATAGCTGAAAAATACCATTAAAAGGATATGGTCATCCATCCTATATTGGGAATCATCCTATATAAGGTATGGTCATTATCCTATATTAATATTAATGAAATCATTATCATTGGTATATAAAACCCTATGAATGGCTATGAGCATTTTTTTTGTGGGAAAACAAACCATTGTTTTGACCATGGCACATGCATATCGGTCTTTGTAGCTAGACAATCCAGTTCCAGCATAGGCATTCTCTCCTCAGCCTCAGGAAGAATCCTGTATATCATGAAAGATCTCTATTTTGCAGATTAGATCATGCTATATCCAGATTGTCAAAACAAAAAGATTATCAAACAAAAAGCAGACTGGCAACCTCGAAGCCCTGAAAAACATGTTGGTGTTTGGGCACGTTCATCCCATTTATTGGATAGTGTAAATATGAACTTATTTCCCCATAGTTACGATATATATATATATCTGGTTAGTGGTATACCTACCCCTCTGAAAAATATGACAGTCAATTGGGATCATTATTCCCAATATATGGAAAAATAAAACACATGTTCCAAACCACCAACCAGATATAGTTTGATGGTTAAAATTCCTACATGATTGTGATGACGTTTTTTGCATCAACCGACAAGGGGCTTGCAGCCACTGCTCGCATAGAATGTGGCCCTCCCACTATAAGTTAGTGTATGATCCCATCTAAGTACAGCCGTACCATAAACCCAAACATTAAGCAAGTTAGTTCGACCAACTTGGCCATCATAAATCAGCTACAAATATCTGTAAATCCCAAATCAAATCACTATTGTTTGGTTGTTTAAATCACAACATGTTCCGTTATTCTATGTTTTTTTTCTATAGTTGTTGCTTGTTTTCCCATCACGTATTTGTTTCTCCATCATGTTTTTTTCCGTATGGTTTGTTCTTCTATGTTTTTGTTGGTTTTTCCTATGGTTTTTCCTATGGTTAAAACCATGAAATCACCATTGTTCGTGGCAAAACCACCATGTTCCCATGGTTTTCCTATTGTTTTTCTATGATTTTCCTGGCTTTTCCTACGCTTTTCCCATGGTTTTTCTATAGGTTTTCCGATCCCACCGCCAGGACCGTCCTTGTAGGACACCCCCGGCCGCAACTTGTGCTCCACCGCCTGGACCGCGTCCCAGACCGCCTGGAGAGGCGAGGGCGGGGTGGGGCCCCATAGAGAGTTGATTTACCCATTAATAGCATGCTGATTTTCCAGAGTTCTGTTAGTTGACCAGAGGGTATATCCCAATCAAATCCCATCAAATCCTATTACATCCCATAAAATCCCATTAAATCCCCAAAATGTGGAGTGAATATATGGGAATCATATGGGAATTATATAAGTTCCACTTTAAATCTGTAAATGAGGATTTGTTCCATTGCCACGTCGGATTACGAGGGTACCTACTTGCCGGTACCATTTTTTAAGGTGGCAAATGGGCTACGACCATAGTATACCCAACTTATATATTGACGATCACAACGTATATATAACTATATATACAACTATATATATATATAACTATATATTATATATAACTATATATTATATATAACTATATATTATATATAACTATATATATATAATATATATATATGTATATGTATGTTATAAACACTTGCTCCCTGGAATACAAATCCAAATACGCAATATCAATCTATACACCAAATATATATATATATACACAGTTGAACCAACATATACTTGATGATTGCATCCAATTGTTTAATTGATTTGATTCAAGCCTTAACCAACACATGCATATGGCTATAAATTCTATAAACAAATTTAAGTTATGTTTTTGGTTGCTTAGGAAGGTAGGTTCCTTTTCAAGAATAGTTCATGTTTGAATTCCAATTTCGGCTGGTTACAGTAAATTTCAAGTTGAACCCCAGTTGTAGTCGATCCTATCTTTGGCTGTCCAAAGTAGAGTTTACATAAAAACGAACATAACTATGGACGAAAAATGTACATTTGGGGTGTTTGCAACATTCAGACACACCGCAATATCATATTTTTGAAGGTTACATACACCATCATATGAATCATATCTCATGATACAATGATCTCCGCATTTTGATAACCATGCGGTGAGGGGTGCTTTAAAAAGGGGTGCTTATAACATGGTATAACTCTGGTGCGTACCACCTCCATCGGTTCGAATACCTCCATGCCTACCCTCTGGTAATTTAACATAGCTACAATGTGAGGCCCCCAAGATATCTAAGTTGGTTTATAACTCCAATAACTATGGTTTATGGTACTTATAACTATAGTTACTGGGGCCTATAAACCAACTTATAACTGGGGGGCCTCACATTGTCTGAAAAATCTCCGTTTTCAATAGCTATGTTAAATTACGAGAATGTACGGTTTAAGTCCAAATATAAACCCAACTACTTTGCTCAAACGTGGCTTGCTGGACAAAAATATTTTCCAACAAACCTCCATTTTTTATATCCTTGTATTCCTTACATGTGTTTAAAAACATGATCTTCCATAGCAAACTGTAAGTTACCAGAAGGTATATCCCAATCAAATCCCATCAAATCTCATTACATCCCATTAAATCCCCAAAATGTGGAGTGAATATATGGGAATCATATGGGAATATGGAGGGATTTCTGGGGACCCTCCGCCTCGTAAACCACCTTCTGCGGAACACTGAAGCGTCCAGACCTGTTACGCCGTTTCCGCCATTTCAAATGCGGGGCATGGAACGATGGAAAATTTCAGCTCCCTGAGAAGTCATTTATAATGGTAAAGATTATATATATACAATATATATCATGAAAATATTATTATAATGGTAAATATTATAAAATAATGGTATCATATGAATGTATATAGATACTCAATTGATCATTTTTTGCGTATTTATCAATATTCCACTGATATGTTGTTAATAGTCACCATTGAATGTATGTATATATATATATATACTTAGACCTTTCAAGTACCTGGATCAAAACGGGTGAAATTACTGATAGGCTGTTGTTGAATACATTTGTTGAACACCTGGAGGGTCTAAACATATACTATAAATATATATATATATATATATATAGCAACATGTTACAATAAATGAATATATATATATATACATACAATTATCGAAGGAAGTTTAGAAGTCAAACTTCCGACAATATGGACAGATGAAAAGCAGAGATGGGAAGAGTCAGAGAGAAGAGAAAAGTAGAAGAGAGAAGATCAGAGAAGAGAAAGAGTCAGAAGAAAGAAGATGCAGGTGCGCGAAAAGGTAGGAAAGTCGCGAAACACTGTGTTTTTCCAATGATTTGTGGCTCCGGAGGGTCGAAAAGTAAGCTCGCTAAAGTGGCGGGTGCGGAGCCATCTGGCTAAAAATTGCACGCCGTTGTGGCGCGAAGCACATTTCGAAGTGAAAATGTGCAAAACACACCAGGTTCGGACCACTTTTGGAAGTTGAGATGTCGAAATTGTGCATGCGGTTGCGGCGCGAGGCACATTTTGGAGTCAAAATGTACAAAGCACACCACGTACGTACCACTTTTGGAGGTTCAGATGTGCTTTCGCGTGGCAGGCGCAAGGGCTTGTGCACCTTGTCAAAAATGAGCAAAACATACCAAAACGTGAGGGTTTTGTGGCATTTCCAAAAACGATGGCAGGCGTGTGACATTTGAAGAGGATCGTGGCAGGCGCAGTGCAAAAGACATGTTCATCAGAGATGTTCGGAGGTCAGGGCGCTGATTTCCTGAGAAGGGTTGCATTTTGGAGCATCAGATCTTCAGGTTTGCTGAGGTGATTTTGCGTGACAGGTGCAGCACTTCGTATGATCTGGCATCACTTTTTCGTGGCAGGCGCAGGAGGCTGTCAGCTCTGCACTCAACTTTCCATTTTTGAGGGAAGTCTCGCAGAATTCATTTGTTTTTGATGTTGTCAAGTTCAAAAATTGAAGAAGTCTCGCAGAATTGCTTCGTTTTGGATGTTGTCCAGTTCAAAAAATGAAAAAGTCTCGCAGAATTGCTTCGGGTTTGATGATTTTGATGTTGTCAACTTCGAAAAATGAGGAAGTCTCGCAGAAGAGCTTTGTTTTCAAGCTTGCAGATCGACAGATAGACAGACAGACAGACAGAGATAGATAGATAGATAGAAAGAAGATAGATAGATAGATAGATCGATACATAGATAGATACATAGTTAGATAGACAGATGAGATAGATAGACAGATAGCTAGATAGATGGAAAGATAGAAAGAGAGATAGAGAGAGAGAGATAGATAGAGAGATAGATAGAGAGAGAGAGATAGATAGATAGATAGATGGATAGATAAATAGATAGATAGATAGGGAGATAAAGAGAGAAAGAGAGAGAGAGATAGATAGATACATAGATAGATAGACAGATAGATAGATAGACAGATAGATACACAGACAGACAGACAGACAGACAGATAGATAGGTAGGTAGATAGATAGATAGATTAACAGATAGATAGACAGATCGATCGATCGATAGATAGATAGATAGATCGATACATAGATAGATACATAGTTAGATAGACAGATGAGATAGATAGACAGATAGCTAGATAGATGGAAAGATAGAAAGAGAGATAGAGAGAGAGAGATAGATAGATAGATAGATAGATAGATAAATAGGTAGATAGATAGATAGATAGAGAGAGAGAGATAGATAGATAGATAGATAGATAGATAGATAGATAGATAGATAGATAGATAGATAGATAGATAGATAGATAGAGAGAGAGAGATAGATAGATAGATCGATACATAGAAAGATAGATAGATAGATAGATAGATAGATAGATAGATAGACAGATAGAGAGAGATAGAGAGAGATAGATAGATAGATAGATAGACAAACAGACAGACAGATAGATAGGTAGATAGATAGATAGATAGATACAGAGAGAGATAGATACAGAGAGAGATAGATCGGTAGGTAGGTAGGTAGGTAGATAGTCAGAGAAAGAGAGAAAGAAGGAGAGAAAGAGAGGAGACCTCAACCACCTGTCGGTCCATCAGTCCATCAGTAGCTTCGCTCTGCCATCCGTGATTCACATCAACCAACCTCTCCTATAGGTTTCCTACTTTTGAAACTTCCGCCGCCGCCTTGTGCGGTACTACTGGTATATATATATATATATATATATTTATACATACATTGAATGTATCCAAATAATTCCAAATATCCAAAAATTAATCTTGCAAATGATCAAGATCATCGCCGGCCAAAGAAGCAGATCCGGCAGCCAAATCCTTCGACCCGACGCCAAGGAACACTGGGAAGGTGCAGGTGACATCGGCAGAGTAGCCATGGTACTCTGCACCTCTCGAAGTAATGGAAATTAATGGAACATGCTGGGACGAGATCTGCTTGTGGATTTTCATGATGGTTTAATCTGGGTAAATGAAATCATATTTCACTAACCTGAATTGTTGGGCCATTTGGGGATGATTTCCCTTATGAAAACCATGATTCCAGGGTTCGGGAGAACAGTGAGGTCGCAACATAGTTTACCCAGTTTAATGGTGGCTTTTCATGGTGGTTTAATGGTGATGTGATGGAAATTCTAAGGTGATGGGGATTGAACCAACAAACATGGGGAATACAGCAAAAACCCTCCGGCAATCAAACATTGCTGGGAAATCCCCTTATAAGAAACTAGGAACATCATGGATAAATGGTGAACTGTCCATTAACATGTTTGATTAGCAAAGAAAAAAGAGGAAAATAAATATGTATAATAAATAAATATGTACATATATATATAGATATATATGTATATATACAAATATGATAGATCAATGGTCCAGCAGTGGATCATGAATTGTACAAGCAAGTACATCCATGCAAGGTGCTACAGTGACCCCTGCATCACGACAAGATCAGAATCCATGGGAATGTCGACGCCGAATAGACATCGATGTGTTAGCAGTTAACAAGGTGGCGCCCCCCAGATATAAGTTCCTTCATAACTGGTTGGTGGTATACCTACCCCTCTGAAAAATATGAAAGTCAGTTGGGATGCTTACTCCGAATATATGGAAAATAATCCAAATGTTCCAAACCACCAACCAGATAAACAGTTAGAAACCTACGTATTTAATTATAGACACTATCTATCTTCCGTAAGTTCGATCGTCAGCCTAGTCAGTTCAACCAACTTGAAGTTGATTGGGGCCACCACCTTCTCCCCAAATTGGGGATGGGTCAAAACATGTCAAAACCTATTGTTACCATGTATCAATGGCCATTTCAGGAACCGATTTATTGGAGGTACCTACCACATATAAGGCCTATTTCTGAGGCCTAATTTTCAAAATATGGCCAAAATTGTGGTACAGTACCTCCATGTCAGGATGCTGAAATTCCCATTGAATGTAGGGAATAGCCATCCATTATAAGCAGCTATGACTTTGGGTATCACCAGGGTCTTGACCACCTTACCGAGCACCGCACCCATATCAAGAAGTCGCAAACTGTCGGGCGCGACCTTTTCACCTCAAAAAGGACGTCCGTTGAGTTGAAGAAACACTACCACAAACTTCCAAATTGAAGTGGGTATGTGCCCTCCGGTAATTTTCCGCATGGCTAGCTGGAAAATCCCTAGAGATGGAGGTGCTTTTTAATGTTTGAATATGTTTTAAAGTGGGAAACACAACTATAAATGGTTGATTTTCCATAACGAGGCATGAAAATAAAGCATAATTCAGTTGTTTCTCAATTCTGGATGAAATCGCAAGGTCTATCAATGAATCGTTTACCACCGCATTTTAAGTGGCCCCTGTGATTCTACTATACATGGCCATGGCTATTAGTGAAATAACTGGTGATTTCTTTGGGATGAGAAACATGAACTACAAATGGGGTGACTTGTTAGTACAATGTGAGGCCCCCCAGTTATGTTTGTTGGTTTAGATTCGCCCCAGTAACTAGTTCGTTATAAGTACCATAAGTACCATAAACCATAGTGAAATCCCTCTTATAAGTGTTGGTTTATAAGCCCCAGTAACTATAGTTATAAGTTATAAGTACCATAAACCATAGTTATTGGAGCCATAACTGTACAACACTACGAAAAATCAGACGAAAAATCTTTGACATCCACATCTTGGAATCTTAGGATGGGCCTACATCCGCATGGACCGGTGACTGACCTAGCCCTAGTTAAATAGCTTCTGGTAAAAATATTTCCCGGCAAAAATGGGACGTCCTCAATCTTGAGTGGGACGTCCTCATATGCATTTTTTTTCGGTCCATCCAACCAGGTGTCATTTTGGAGGGAAATTTCTGGTAATTCAACAACTTGCCATGGAAAATTGCCCAGGTGAAGATGATTTATCTAATTATTAAACATTGGGTTGAAGTTTCATATGTAGATTATTTAACATGCCATATCTAGCATTAAACATGGTCCTTTTCCATGGCATGGTGTTGCTAGTAACTGGCAGCAAGTTGCTATTCGGCTCGGCCGCGTGTCCATAATGAAGGATGGCATTTCCTCACCGAACATGACAATCAACACATGATCAAGTGGTGCCCCATAGTTAGCTAAGTTGGCTTATAACTTCAATAACTATGGTTTATAGGTGATATATTTATACTTACTATGGTTTATATCATTCCCATATGATCCATGTATGGTATATTTGCCTACAAAACTGGGTGATTTTGTTCGGGCAAATGTTGGTGTGCATATTCCATGGAGCATACGGGCATGATCAAGCTGGATTTTACTGATCCCAAAAAAGATAGAAGAGTACTGATATAGCATGATATAACCATGATATATAACACTATTTAGTGGGATTTGTCCAAATTCATCCAATTTTTAGGCTTTGCTGCAAGGTTTGCTAAAAGAACTTCAAGAGGATCAGCAAAACATGACCACATGAGGACGGATCCGTGATTCACGGATGCTTTTGATGAGTTGAAAATTCTTTAAAAAAAAATGACTCAATTTGTCGATCCAAATGTGGAACATGTGATATGTTGAAACCTATATTTGGGCTATGAACATCCTTTGTCAGCTATTCTAAACACTGATGCAACCCGTGGGTTTCTATTCAATGTTGTGGAACAAGGAAGTAGCAAATAAGTGGTTGGCTTTCAAGGTTTTCAAGCCCAACACCCAATGTGAATGAGTTTTCATTATGTTGACTACCCGACTACCCTTAATAATGGCAATACTCAGGACATTCCCATGTTTTGGGTCGCCACCATTGCGCGAACCGAAATTCCACAGTGAAACACTTCCAGAAGAACCGCTGCGCACATCCGCGCGTTGGAACGTTTCCTTAAGATGCATGAATTTAGCTACCCACCTGGACCCAATCACATCCCAAGGACGGCGAAATTTCCACAGATAGTTCATCATCTTGCGGATCTTGGAATCAGATGTGAAAAATATCACATCTGGTTGGTGGTTGAGCCTACCAATCTGAAAAATGATGGACTTCGTCAGTTGGGATGATAAAATTCCCAATATATGGAAAAATAATCCTCATGTTCCAAACCACCAACCAGACATTCATTATTCAATATCCAGGAATAACACATATCAAACTATTTGGAGGTTTGCTATGTTACTTCATCAGGAAATTCGAAGATTTAATACTATGTAAATGCAAATAACAATCATCTGGCTTCAAAGGAGGCACCAACAGATGAAACAATTCTCAGCTGATATGGGTGTGTCTGAAAATGGTTCCAATACTCAAAAAAACTACCGGCCACATGATGAGAAACCACTGGAAGCGGGGATACCCTCTGGTAAACTAACAGTTTGCTATTGAACATGGCCATTTATAGTGAGTTGTCCCATGAAAAATGGTGATTTATGGTGGATTTACCTAGTAAAAATGGTGATTTTCCATAGCAAAATGTATGTTTACCAGAGGGTACCATCTCTCTCAGACAAAGCCACTGTATCCAAGATCTTCATCCATGATGACAATGGGAATAAAACAGGATCCTAAAAATTGGAGCTACGTAAACGTACCATATCTTTGGCCATATGTTGCGGGGATATTCCCTGAACATTGGGCCTCAAAAATAGGCTAAGAATATATGGTAGGTACCTCCTAGGTTCCTGAAATGGCCGACATTATGATAATCCCCCCAAAAATGCTTTCCCAAATGCTCAGCGTGACAAGCCAATGATTAGAAAGAACAATGCCCTCTGGTAATGAATAACGATGTGCTATTGAACATTGCCATTTAGTTTGTTGATTTACCAATTAAAAAAAAGGATCTTCCATAGCAAACTGTTAGTTTGCCAGAGGGTATCCCCATCAAATCCCATGAAACCCCATCAAATCCCATGAAATCCCATGAAATCCCATCAAATCTCATCAAATTCCATTAAAACCCATTAAATCCCATAAAATCCACAAAATGTTCCGTGTTGTTTCAGCATGTGTCAGGCGGAAAAAAAAACTCAGGGTCTTTTGCACGCAAGGTTCGCCGACCAGAGCCACAAATGCAGTTGTAGCCCACGCGGAAGCATCCGCGTAGGGCGGCCTATCGGCAAGATATTATAAGATATCCTGGTCACAAAAAGGGGGGTGAATGTCTACTGCAAACTGGATGGTAGATTGTGGCAAACTGCAAATGATCGGAGTAATCAAATCATTGATAGAACATGTGCAGAGGATTCGGTTCAACCATGTGGGGTTGTCATCCAGCAACGGCCAATTGCAAAACTCCTTGTGTCAATGGCATAAGGCCTTTCAACTAATTATTTATCAAATGTCGTTCCAAAGCAAACTGTTCATTCCTGAAAATCAGATGCTTAAATCTGGCATCACTATCTCATATGTTCTTTTTCCTGGGAATGATTTTCTGCTCCGGCGAGTTCCTTCAAGCAATTGAGCCTGCAACATCTATAGTTGTAGCTGCTTGCTTGAACACATGACACGATGCGTGCCCGAAATTGCAAGAAATACATGCTTTTCTTGCAATCTGAGCGAAGTAGACCACGTAGATATCCATGTGGGGGTTTCCTAAAATGGGGGAAATCATCCATTTTAGTTGGATTTTTGGGGTACCCTCCATTTCAAGAAATCCCTATTCGTCAGTATGTTCCAAGAAGGCAACCAGGCCTGTTCCGAAATTGTGGTTTACCCAGGTGTGAATGTAGGGAACTGTTCGAAACCCATATTCCTTTTGTAAACTAACATGACTATGGAAAATCACAATTTTAAATGGGAAAACTCACTCTTTCAATGGCCATTTTCAATAGAAAACCGTTAAATTACCAGAGGGTATTCCTTTTGTTCGACATATTTTTGGCACTGCGGAGCCCTCCGGAGCTATGAATTGAGAGTTTCCCTTGAGGCTTAATGACGGTTGGAGTGTGACGCGGAGTTCCGACACGTGAGCCATGAAACATGCGAAGTTTATCCCATGGCAATATACACATTGTATTGCTTGGTGATGTATATATATATATATATATATATATTTTTTTTTTTTCCTCTATGGCTCATTGCTGCGAGTGCTGCGGCCTGTGCAAAGCTGCTTGAATTCACGGTCCACGGCCTTAAGAGGCAAAATCCTGCCCTAAATGCTTGCTGTACATAGAGCAATGAAGGGACTGCCATCTGTCTATGTCGGAGGCCTCAGGTTCCGTGACCGTTTCAACGCTAAGGTCATCAATGCCTCGGCGAAACGCAGCAGCGAGTGCGTGGCACATCGCTGGCGGATATTCTTTCAAAATTCCTGTCTTCCATGTACCGTCAGCGGCCAGACCAATGGACGCTCCTTTCGGTACTTCAGGCCGGAGGCGCGCCTCATTGAAAGCACAAGGAAGCCCAGGCATGTTGATGGTCAGCAGGTCCGTGGGTTTTGCTGAAGGCGCTCCAAAAAGCCCTTGAGCAACACGATGCCGACGAACTCCAGGCGCCTGCAATAATGCCTGGACGATAGGCAATCGCCAAATGGCTGCCAGATCATCAGCGTCAGGTTCTGCAGGGTGCTCAATGACACCGAGACCTCCCGTTCGGGTCAAAACGCAAGCCAGCAAGATGGAGAACGTCAAGAGGAAATTGCCGATCATGACCTGGTGTAGTTCCCGTAAAGCGAGGCAAGGTAGTCCCCATAGGAACTCCGCAGTGCGAAGGATTCGAGGGGCACGTCGAAGATGTCCCGAAGGGTCATGGAGAGCTCGTCCACGGGCAACAGACCAGGTCTCGCAAGGGGGTCCTGCAAGAAAAGCGATGATGTATCCTGCATGTGCAGCAGATAGCCAGTAGTCTCTGACCTGCTCATCTGATGCGTCGCCCCAATGTGCGTCAACCACGATGTCCATGCTGACAACGTGTAAAATATATCCCTCTGGCGGCACCATATGATCCAGAAAGAATTGGACGTCTCCTTGTCGTCTCCTTCCGGAGAAGAGGTGCAAGAACACACGATGTTTGCCAAAACATCTAGGAATGTGCTCATGCCGCTCCCAATTCGTGACTGCAATGTCACAACATTCATTCTCCAAATCCTTGAGACTCTTCAGCTCCTTCTCAAAGGACGCCTGCAAGTCCCAATGCGTCGGATCCAGTAAGCCATGCAAAAGCCCGATCACCTCGTCAAACTCCATCTCCCAAGCTGCAAAGTCGTTGGCCTCCACATTCTCAATGAAGTAGTTCACCGTCGCAGTCCAAATAGTCCACGAAATAGGTCTCGACTCCGCAATCTGCAGGATGGTCTGTACTGCCAGGTGTGGAGTTCGCGCATCGATACAGGCCTCCATAATGGCTACATGCAAATCATTGTCCACTCCCTGATCAATTCTCCCCCGGGCGGGTGCAGGTAAGGGTCCTTCGGCTTGTAGTGGCGGTAGCAGGCGATCATGCGCAACCTGTCTCGTCCTGTCCGCATCTGAACCGGCTCCTGGAACGATCACACAATGATAGTTCCTGCTTTGAAGCGCCCTTCTGCATGAGGTGGAATAGTACAGGTGTGCATTCACCTTTTCCATGGTATGGTAGTGCTTAAGACATGCCGGACATGTTGGCGTATCTGTCAGCGACCGACGCGAAGCTGCGATACCATGTGCCTTGAACATGTGTGCTGCTTCTCCGGCTCTGCTTCGGCACCTTTTCCTGCATAGAAGGCATCCACGTACTTCAACTTCTGGAGCTTCGTCAGTTTGTTGGTGCGGTTGATACTGATAGAGCTCTCGGAAAATAGCAAGTGCTTGTTGATGGAAATGGACAAGGTGGCATTCATTTCGACGTTGAAGAATAGAATGTTCAAATGCACGACGAGTCAAACGTCTCCAATATGAGCGATGGTGAAGAATTAAATCCCGCCATTGATCCCATTGAGCACCAGGCTCCCCGAGATGTGAACTGTGCTTGATTTGGCTCCACATCCAGCCAAAATCTTCTTCGATCACACTGGTCCATTGTCGATCTTGAGCAATCAAACCCCATTCCGAATGAGCTCCACAATGTAGAATCGTCGCCACATATCTTAGGCGCGCTCGGCGCAGGAGTTCACTAGGACTCGGCAACTGGACCCCAGAGAGGATCTCATTGTCCGTCAGATGCTGTTCCGGAGAAACTGGTAGTAAACGGCGGTACAGCTTGATCACTGCAGAATGGAAGCAGTTGACTGTCCGGTCATCTGTTGCAATCCAGGTCTCTGCTCCATAGAGCAGTTTGCTCAGTACCAGCGACTCCAAGAGCTGCGTCCTCTTCTTCAATGGCAACTTCCAATTGCGAAAAAGAAGCTTTCTGTGCTGGGTGACTGTTCCATGGGCAATGCCGATACGGCGCCTGATTTCATCTCTTTGATCAGCCTTGTGATGAACAAGGCCTCCCAGATGTCTGTAGCGCGTTGTGAGTGCCACTTCAAAGGTGCCGTACTCGTTGATCACTGGCAAGGTTCCGCTCGCAGCAGGTCCGTACAAAAGCTTTTTGTATTTGCGAGATTCATGGCCCTGAAGGGAGAGTAGGATCTCTGTTTTGTTTTTCTTGAGATTTGGTGACATAGCGTGTTCAGTGCATAGTTCAAGAAGTCGACCTGTGGCCACGCCAACTTTCCGAAGAAGGCTTGCTGGGCTGTCACTTTCCAAACAAACCGCAAGGTCATCCATCCATGTTGGCCCCAAAAAGGGGATCATGGTCGTCTCATCAGTAGAGACCTGAAAGACGGGTAGGCAATCGTACTGAGGAAAGTGGCTGATCATTTCCTGCCGCACCAAGAATTCTTGTAGCTGGCGCAACACGAGAGCCCACACGTAGCTGAAAATGATGTCAGCGAATGGATCTCCAGGACGTGATCCGTGCGTGGTCTGGACGACGTCTTGTTGGTTCTGCATCCAGAAATGTGTCTGGGAGTGAACTGCACGGACACTGCGTTGTTCCCACGGCGACAGACCGGCTCGATCAAGCGCACACGGCTCTTGCAGTAGACGATGTAGAACATGTAGTGCATCAGCCGGCATGCGCAATCTGCTCATCAGTGTAGCCAAAGCCTCATCAGTAATTGCGCCGCCCATACATAAAGGTCTCAGGATGCGACAGAACGCTTCCTTGAGATCCAGCAGGATAAGCGCACTTGAGCGTTTTTGATGATGTGCCTGTCGAAGATAAGCTCGGACAAGATGCACACCATAAGTTACCGGCATGGACCGACGCCCACCCAACTGCTGCATCTGTAAGAAGTTCTCAAAGATGTGCGCCTGAGATGATCTCATTGTCCGGTGTATGGCTTTGCCAATGTGGCTAGAGATCAACAATGATCTGAATGAGCTGCAGAGTGTCTTGTCACCGCTCCCTTTGTAGGCTTGTACTAAAAGTCCACCTTTGAACTGAAGTGCTTCATGTCCGTGGAGCAGCAGCTTCCATAGAGCTGAGAAGTTGGCTCGTGCACAGTGCTTAGGTGTCAGGTGGCATAGTTCTCCTGGAACTCCATCCGGTCCTGTCGCCTTTCCATTGGCAACTCTGCGAAAGGCCAACTCCAGATCCGTCAGTGTCGGGAGCTGCGTCGCCTGGAGTTCAAAAGCTACCTGTTGCCCTTTTCGCAATGCTTGAAGCCAATCAGCGTGCAGCTCCAGGTAGGACTGGCGAAAGCCACCCTCCATATCTGCAAAGAATGCAATCCATGTCTGTCTGGCCTCCCAAGGAGAATTACAAAGTCTGCCTTGGGGGTTCTCAATCATCGGAAGAGTCTTCTGCTTCTGTTTGCGAGGATTGGTGGGCCCAGTGAATTCACGCATGAGCCGTAGAATGTGAATTGCATCTGTGTGCTCATTGACCTGTTGGAGCCTTTGCTGCATCAATCTCTGTTTGGCCTGCTTGAGCTGGTCGCGAAGTCGTCGACGGTAGGCAATGAACCGCGAGAAGATGCGTAAGCTGTCACATCGTAATGTCGTGCCGTAGTTGAAGGTCTCCTCGATGTGGTCTTTATCAGCACGCCTCTTCCAAGCATTAAAGACGGTCTGAATTGCCTCATTACGCAGCTTCTCCTTAAGCCTCTTGAGTTTCTTCCTGGCTTTGAGAACGTGATGACGTAATTGCCAGATCTCATCGTCAATGTAGCATTTCTTGGGCCCAGATTTGGTCGTCCTGCAGAAAGGTCGTAGAATCCGCCCAATCTGTCCGCTGAAATGTTGCTCCTGGCTTTCGACATCAGTCTGCCATGATGAACATGTCACACCCTGCATGTCGTTGACGATTTGGTTTCTGACAATCTCAGACGACCATTCAACTTTGGGCTGTGATCTTGGCAATCTCTTCCTGTGCATTTCTGTCTGCCACGACAATTCTATCCCAACTGCCTTGTGATCATCTCTGCTTGTTGCAAGGTCAAATTCTTCCAGCACCCTTGACAAAGTACAGGAACTTCTCCATGACGCCGGAATAACGATATAGTCGATGCAATGATGGTCCTCGCCGTTGGGTGAAGTCCATGTTGCCAGAGACCCTTCATGCACAGGCAGAGTAGCTGGAAGGCACATGTTGAGCTTCTGGAAACACGCTCGCATGAAGATGGTGTTTGCTGATATGCGCAAGCCTTTGCGGTAAACCACTTCACCGTCTGCATTGCCGGGCTCGGCATTAGCATCAACGAGCCAAATGCAAGATTGCTCTGTTGCACGGCTCCACAAAAGTTCCGTGGTTTCCTCCCACCAGCGTTCCCTTTCTTCACGGGTTCGACCACTGTGCGGTGCGTGCGCCGCAAACAAACAACATTGTAGTCCTTCAGCTTGTAAATTGACCAGGAGACGTCTTGAGTCGCGGTGCAGAACCTGGAAATCGTGCTCCTTAAAGAACATGTCCTTTCCTGCAGATGTGCGACCATAAGGTTGCTCAAGGTTAATCCAGATCTCCACATCACCTTGCCCTTTATCATGACCAGACATGAAACGAAGGATCCGATTGGACGATGTCATGCCCTCATCAGCTCTTCCCTCTTGAATGCCAAGAATGTTAATCCCAAGGGTCTTCATTTGCTCGAAGAGGTAGTGCAGTTTCCCCGCATGTCCATCCGGATTGCGAGAGAGGGATAACACGTTGGCAGACGCAAGGCTGAGAGTGCAACGCAATGTGGTGGTTCTCTGGGGGCATCTGTCAATGTCTTGGCGCATCAAGGGTCTTGGTATGTTGGGCATGGTCGTGCTGAGGAATCCATTGCTCCATGGGGGCATTCCACACTTGTCACCAAAGGCAAGCCATAAGTGGGGCAAGAGCTGGGCCCATTTCTGCATGTCGATCTTTGGCCACGCATGATTGAAGCTTTTGGTCATCTCAATTTTGGCGACCAGATCAACAAACTCGTTGAAAGGGTCCCCAGTGTGAGAATACACGTGATGAAGAACTACGTGATCTTGAGGGAGACCAAGTTCCAAACTTTGGAAAATTCCGCGCAGGAGACGGTAGGACTCGTCAGGGACCGCTGTGCCCATTTCTCCGAAAGCCTGTTGTCCGCAAGTCAATGAATCACAACAAAAAACCGTTGGAGTGAGGCTATTCTGCATGAGGCGCCATAGTCCGGCCCAGATAAGAGCTTGTCGTTCAGCGACCTCAGCACCGATGCGCTTGGCGTGGGTGTAGTTGGCGCCATTGACTTCATACCTGACCGGATGAGTACACCAGCCAATGGCCTCAATGGTGGATGGGCCATCCTCATGGAAGATCTCACCAAGAACTAGCATCGCCCAGGTATCTGGGTGTCCCAAATCATCTGCTTGTTGAGGGACCATGCGTCTCAATGCCGACATTGATGAACCGTCTGTGAAAATTAACCATCGATCGTAGATCTTTCCTGGGCACGCTGGTATAATCTTCTCTTGGATGTAGTCTGGCATGTCAATTCCAGAGAAATCAACTTGGAGGAAAGATTCCCCTGCCCCAAGGAGTTCCTGGAGATCATGTCGATCAAATCCACTATGAACTTGTTGTGCCGAACTCTGAAAATCACCTTCTCGGAAATGGAATAGCGGTCCTTCTTCCCAATGTTGTACGAGACGTGGTGGCCACGGAGTACGAACTTTCTCCCGGACTGACTTGACTGGGGGCATCGGCACACTATTGCAAAACATCACATGGTAGATTCCAGGCAGTCTGAAATGAGTGTCCAAGACAACTGCCCTGGGATAGCCAAGTGTATCAAGGAACTTCATGATGTCAAGTGTGGACATCTCTTTTGGTTGTGAGTGAAGGAACACGCCCTCATTGTCCTCCGTGTCCTCATTCGCAAACATGTAGTGTACTTGAGCTTTGTCAAATCGAAAATCCTCTCGAAAGCATAGATAGCGATCATGTACACCAAATTGAATGACTGAGCAGTTCAGGCCCCATTGTCTGAGTGAATCTTCAACATCGGACTCCATGGCCGATGAGGAGACCTCAAGATATGTGGGCAGGTCGAGTCCATGGTGTCCAGCGATCAATCTGATCGCTTTGGTTTTGCCATCTGCTGACAGTAACGTCGTCAGGCAGATGGCTCTGCGGAGCTCTGGCCCGTGAACTTGAGCCACCGAATCACGTGTTAGGCGCTCAGAGCTTGCAGTTGGTTCATTGTGTATTTCCATACCCGCCCGTGATGTCCTGGTGACTGCATGTCCCAGTTGTAGAAGGAAGGGCCCTGCTGGAAATGGTTGCCTGTGCATGAAAGTCATCACAATGCCCGATCCATCGCGTCCAGGCCAAGGCGTACCAAGCTGTATGGGCTGCGCGTCATGCCATGCATGGCAAATTTGGGAACTGCCTGCAAGGAGGCATTGTTGGGTCCGGCCAAGGCTGTGTATGAGATGTTCCAATCGGATGTGTTCATGCAGTGTGATAGCCATTTGCATGACTGTCCCTTCGTCAGTAGAAGTGTAGTCGTAGATGGTGAGTAAGACCGAGCATAGATTTGCCTGCGGGCGTTGCAAAACAATGACATGCGCAACGATGTTCGGATGCATACCCGGTGGTGAAGGTCGTACTAAAAGAAGTTCGAATGGTGCATCTTGAAGGACATCTTGCCATGCCTGTTGAATCTGTGCTTCCCATGTGTGCAGTGTTTCTGTGATACGGACTTGGCGTGGTTGTTGACAGACTCTGCGAACGGGGTCTTGTTGATCAATGTACCAAGTCATGAGCATCCCAGCTCTTTCTTCAGTTCCCCATGTGAAGGTCCTTTGAGACCAGAGTTCAAAGAGATCCTGCACATCCTCAGGAAATGTCTGAAGATCAGGTCGAGCAGGGTAAAAAGCTGGCGCGTCAACATTGAAGCTAAATACTTCACATGCATCTCCCTCTGCTGGGAGCGTGACCGCGTCATGAGGTGACATCGTGGATCTTTGATGTGCTGGAGCTTCAAGTCGGCCATGTTGCATGAATGAGGTCGCATCTGAAGGCGGGGAAGGTCTACTTGCGATCGTGACTACAACACTTTCACCGGCTTCCAGTTGTACTGGTGCGTCGCCGTGGACTGTGCGGCCGTCGCATTGTAGAATACAATCTCGTGATACACACCAGCGAGTAATGCCCAGCTCTTCGAAGACATCTCTGCTCGTAATGAAAGGCGTCATCAGGCCTGCAAAATGCCACAATCTGCGCGCAGTAGGATGATCAAAAACCCCAGTCATGAGTATTGGCACCAACTCACTGTGACCTTGTTCCAGAATAAGGTGTCCAACCGACGCTTGTCTGTCATCATCTGGCGGCGCCGGATGTACGTGATGAACTTGGCCTGGAAGCGTAGGATCCATGACATCAGCCCAAAGATCACACAAATCCTGGTACCAGAGGTGTTGCATGGTATCCAACCGTAGGATCCTTGACTCTGAGTTCCTTGTGTACCTACGGTGATGTAGGTACCAAGTTGTCCAATAAATGACTGGTCCTTCATCCTGATGCTCTGTGGTCGCACATTGCAGAAACGTCATGCTGGCCTGTGGTAGCCATGATTGTTCATGCATCTGTCTGATCTGGTGTCCGCGGCCAATCAAGCTCTGTTGTGGTCTTGGCCCGGCTCGCAAACTTGGAAATGTGGCACTCTGCTCAATCGGTTGCTTGTAGTGAATGTTCTTGCCAATTTGAAAGAGAGCGGGGCCGCTGACTCCACTACGTAGGTCTCCTGGTGCTGGTGACTGCACGTGTGCTCTTTTGGATGGTCGATCTGTCTCAGGTGAACGGCATTCGAGCTTGGGAGGGATCTCAACTCTGACATATGCTGCATGCTTTAGTGTCTTCGGAGCTAGATCATCCTCTTGCCAGAGCTGGTTGTTGAGATGCAAAGTGCACTTGAAATCGCTCTGCTCGCATTGCTCATAGATGCCCAATTCCTGCAGAAGACCAGTTCGTCCGAGGTAGCGTGGTAGGCGTAGGACTTCTCGTCGTTGAAGAGGTCTATCGCCTTTAGGTGCCAGGTACGTGATGTCAACTAACACGAGCCGGTCTGGGGAGCCTCCAGGGATGTCACCAACCTTTTGCAGAAGAATCGCTTCTTCCGCAGGGTGTTGATCGATCAAAGGAACTTCGAAGTAGTGATAGCCAACCGCTTCATCACGACGCATCCCGAGTGAACGCAGGACTTCAAAAAGGATGGTGTTGTACGAGTCCCAATGTACAAAACAGTGATGGGTGTGGCTTTCAAGACCAAAGACTTGCACTCCTTGAAGCTGGTCAATGGGCAGTACCATTTCATCACTAGTGGGACTCTCTTCTTCACTTGCCTCAAGCTGGTGGGTTACCGGTTCGGCTAAAACTCCTTGTTCTTGTCGATCATGTTGTGCAGAGCTACTGGCGCTGGCTTGATTCTCGTTGACAATAACGACAAATGAATGGCCATTGAGCATCCAGTGCGTCTGCACCGCCGTAAGTGGAATGGGCGTCCAATCATGATATACTCGAACATCATGTGCATCTAGAAAATGTTCAGCCTCAGCTCCTTGTACAATTTCAAGGCCACTAAGATGTCTCGAGTACGAGATTGCCCACGTGAACGAATCATCTGAAACTTGGCTAGGATGGTAGACAGTTGTAATCCCACCACATCGGTCAAATCCTCCCTGTACAAGAATCAGATCGGCATGTGGAATCACAGGGCGATCAGTTTGTGCACGAACCTCTGGGTATACGACAGCAATGTTGAGGACCTCATCATTGTAGAGTTGGTCACGCCACGCTTGAAGTACATCTCCATGCCAAGTGGTTCCATCGCCCTCCAATTCAACAATGCGTGGTCTCTTCCATTGTCTGACATGTTGGTGGTGGATGTACCACGTCCTCAATCGATAGTACTCACCATCCAAAATTCTCACGTGTCGTTCTCTCCAAAGATGTTGTAAGTGATGAATGTAATTGGGAACGTCGTCAGGCAATCTTCGATCCAGAAAATGGTGTGGTGTCTGCTCTTCTTGTTCACCGGTTCTGTGATCTCGAGAACCTGAACTGCCTGTGTCTCCAATAGTCATTGCTCTTGGAAGGCTCCAGGAAGGAGGTCGATGTAGTCCTTGATAGTCATAGGTCTTGAAAGTGTGGAACTCTTTCTTGACCTCCGCTGCCTCAAAGACTTGTACTTGGTCCTGAAATCGGACGATTCTGTCAGCAAAGTGCCGTCTTTTGGGTAATGAGAAGCACTCTATTTTGAGCTTGCAGGATGTCCCAACCTCCATAGCAAGTTCAGATGCCTTCTCAATGGCCTGCCAGGGGGCAATGAAGTTCGGCTCTGTCAAGATCGAGTGGCACCAGTGCATGGTGTTTGCCCGAGCATCAACAGAGGATACATCCGGCCATTGGCGAGTGTACGGTATCGTCACGCAGCGCCGGCCTTCCCAAAAGGCTCCAAGCTGGGATAGGACCTCTGTCCAGCTTCTCCTTCTTCTTCGGCTTTGCGAGGTCGTTTTGCCTTGGGCTCCAGTTTCTCTGCAGATTCTGATAGCACCTCGAGGCTCGACACAACCTGGTGGAGTCCTTCTTGTATTTTTTGAGCATTCTCGTCTCTGCCGAGTTCGCTCTCCTCCTTGGCATCCATCTCTTCCGTCTCCTCTTCCGAGGACACTGTGTAGGTCTCGTCCTTGTCCCCAGCATCCATGCGTCGCTTGGCAATGTCCAGGTGCTTCTGAGCCCTCTTGAGATTCAAGTGGGCTTCCTGTGCCTGCTGCTGGAATGCCGTTTCGGCAGCCTGGAACTGGGCCGTATATTCTTTCCATTTTACGACTGACTGCTGCAAAAACACTCGCCATTGTGCCCAGAGCTGAAGTCTGGCATTCTCCACTTCGAGCTGTGCTTCCTTTGCTTTGTCCAAGGCTGTCACAGCTGTATGAAGGTTTCGCGAGCATTCTTTGTTGTCCTTCTTCATCTCTGCGTGAACAAGATTTTGGAACTCTGCGGAAAGGTGCTCCTCCTTCTTGGCAGCTTTGACAATCTTGTTCAGCTTCTGTGGCACCTTCCGGCCAAACGCTTGATCTTCGGTAGGCGCAATGTTGGGCATCACCGTCATGGGCGGCTGACCAGCAAAGGTTGTCTCTGGCGAGGGTTGCATTGCTGGCATGTGGTGCATCATGGGCATATTCTGCTGCATCCATGGTGGTCCAACAGGAGGCGCATGTCCAAGTATCATAGGCGGCGGCGGTGGTGGAAGAGGAGCCAACTGCTGTTGTGAAGGGAAGTAACCTTTCCCGCTTCCCTTGACATCGGCATTCATAGAGGATTGTGGCCACATCGGAACCTGCGGCCATGAAGGAGCACTCATACTTGTTTGACGGTCTCCTTGATTCCAATTTTGCTGTTTCTTTTTGGATTTCGGCCTCGTTCTTTGTCTCGGGCTCTTCGGTCTCGAGCTCGATGAGGCTCTTTGCCAGGCTCCTGTCCATTGCTCCTGGGCACCTGCTCTTCTTTGGTTTGCTGTCTGTATGGCACAAGTATCCCAACTTTGGCCACACAAATCGCAGTACCATGCATGCGGCGATCTCATCTTGCGGCACGTGCCGCAAAGCCATCCTGCCTGAGTTGATGACGCCATCTCTCCTTTGATCAGGCCCAAGAAGGTGGTGTCTTTGGAATGATGCGACCGCAAGGTCCTCAAAATTCGAAGCAACTGCTTCTGACCGAGCCGGGCAATACCTTTGCGATGGAGATGCCAGGCACGTCTTGCTGCAGCACGTTTGCGCCGCAAAGCTCTCCGCGAGGTCGCAAGTGCCGGTGCCGTTGTCCAGAAAGAAGCCGTAGACGAACGACAAGAAGAAGATCCCAAACCAGGTCATACACAAGGGACCCCTCAAAGGCAAAGTTGCAAAGCCCGAGTGTCAGGGTATAGACAAGGAAAAGGATCACCACCAGCTCCCCGGGTGGTTTATAGAGGCCGGGACCTCGAGGTGGTATCACCGCTTCGGGTGACAGAGCACAAATGCAAAGCACCAAACACGCCAGGGCAGAACCAGTTCAGCGAGTCGGGCAAGCGCAGGTCCAAACAATGGCCCGTGGGGTGATCGTCACGAAACCCCACTAAGGTAAAGGCGAGGGAAAACGGGGGCCACTGCAGCCAAAACCTTTATATATATATATGGTATATCCCTACAATGTGGGGGTATACCCCAGTGATGTTAGTTGGTTAAAAAAAGCGCCAGTAACTATAATTATAAATGCCATAAAACCATAGTTATTGGAGTTATAAACCAACTTAGCTATCTTGGGGGCCTCACATTGTATGGAATATCATAATCTACGCAAACTAGACATAGACCCGCCGTCAAATAACAACACAGTGATAGCCATCATGATGGCATTCTTGCTCAAATGGTGGCTTCCTCATACTTTCATATTACAAAAAGGTTATACCAATATCATTCATATTATACTGTCCATGAAATCCCCATCAGGTTGATCATGATATCAATACTTACTACTACCATAGACATCCAACACTTAACCTACTAAAAAACCAACGGAGCCATGGCGCCAAATCCGATGGTTCCTACGAAATTATGAGTCCAAGCTTACTTAGCTAATTCGACCAAACAATTTCGAAGATTAGTCCGATCAGTCTAACCTTACTTAGCTACTTAGTCCAAGTAACTTAGCTAATTAGGTTTAATTACCAAGTATATCATCTTGAATCACCATCATATTCATATCAAATTAGCCTTGCTTCACCATCATATTCATGTCAAATTAGCCTTACTTCAAGCAACTTAGCGAATCGTCTGAAAAAAATATGGTTTCCGATCCCGCTCCCGCGCCTGATATTTGAAGGTCGCCTCTGCCAGATGCTCCCGCTGCCCTCCCCGCATTCTGCGCATCGTCTCCACGTGGGCCGACGAAGAAACGTCGTTCACCCACCTGGATGAAAATGGGATGATATGCTTGGGGGTGTATAATTTTCATCCCAATTACCATGGAAACAAATGGGATATCATATTCTATATTTCTATATAATGGACATAGGATGATATATACCCATATATCATATATCATATGATGGAAAAAAAGGAACAATGCTGCATAATGTTGTCTATTCAATGGAATCTCAAGAGATTTCATGGGAGTTTGGATGGGCATGATGATAGTGGCCTGACTAACCTTCAAAGATAGGGATTTGGTGATATTTTTGTGGCTAATAACCAAGCCCTATTGCAATGAAATGCAATGAACATACTCTCTGGTAATTTACCTGTTTGCTATTGAACATGGCCGTAGAAATAGTGGATTTACCCATTGAACATTGTGATTTTCCATAGCTATGTAACAGTTTACCAGAGGGTACCAATTTCAGGGTTGTATCATCACCTCCCCAACCAATCCACCAAGACACTGCAGCACCTTCAGTTCGTCGTCATCTTTCACCTTAGGCCCTAGGGACATGGGATTGGACCAGGGGGCAACAAGTTGTGGTTTCATTTGACAGCCTGATATACATGTGTATATTACTATTAGTAGCAATATTATTACTATGTATATATATATAGGCATGTGTACATATATATGCATATATATATATGTCTATATACAGTATATAAATGTTATGTGTATATATATATGTCTATATACAGTATATAAATGTTATGTATATAAATATATGTATATATTTATATATGTAAATATATATATATATATAAACATATATAATATATATATATATATGTAAAAACAAATATATATAT